TAACGTCAAAAAGAAAATAGTGCTTAAACTTTGAATTACTAGCGCCTTACTTTTATACCTGTCACAGTTATAGTCCCTTAAGTGTTTTACTGTCTTTAGTGTCTTACTCCGTTTGGTCTTTGACTCCTCCATCCCTTTTACTCCTTTTAGTCTTTCACTTCTTTTACTCCTTCTAGTCTTTTACTCGCTTGTGTATTTTGAGTGACTTATGAATTTTTCAATATTAGCTGAGAACAGCCGGAAAAGACTAGTTTTGGTAACAACTCAGGTTTCGCTAAATTCTGAAAACTTTTTCTATAATCAGACATTGTCACGAGACTCAGCACAGTTGATAACCTATGTTGGAGGAGTCCTAGCCCTTCGGGAAAAATGTTTGTAGCGCCTCAACCAGGGTTTTGAAGATGTCGCGTACTTCCAGTTTTGTAAAGGACACCTAGGACTATCTACCTATGCAAAAAAACCAATAGTATATTTGAATCTAGGAAAATCTAAGCTAGTTTTTCAAAGATCCTATGAAAAACGACCTTCGGAAATCTTTTAGAAAACCGATTTCACATTTGAAAAGGTAGCTTCAGGTGTGCAGTTCCCAAACTGAAAACCACAAGTCTCTATCTTCATTTCCTTTTGAGTTCTTCGAAAAATGGCCCCTCGCTCGACTTTTTTTGATGGACAGTACGTGTATTTCTATGGCTCTGTAATAAAATTGGTATGCAATAAATAATCCAAGGTTATGAATGTTTTTTTCTAACTACGTGAGAAAATTCGTATTGAAAATTGAACACCAATTTGGTTGAGAAACGATTTCTGCTACCCAAAACTCTATGATCATCATCTATCCTTTGCAGAAGAAGAAAAACTGAGTGAAAAAATCAAAGTTGGAATAAGTTCATCTTTTTCGTTTCACATCCTAAGAAAAAAATTGAATAAAAAACAAAAGAAGAGGGAAGAGAAATTTCTGTGTGATCTTGCAGAGCGGCAGCTGAGCTATTCCAATATGTGGGAAATTAGTTTTCATAAAAAAACAATTTTCCGCAACCCCTTAAGCCGAATTATTTAACTATTATCTTAATTTATTGTTTAGATAAGACATATTCGACGTCAGTTGGCTGGTTAATCAAATCCACATATATCAATCAAACATTTATTCATTTTATTATTCAGTCATTAAATAAAAATTCAACTAATCTTACATTGTTAAAAAAAATGTTTTATTCCAATTATAATAACAGAACCGAAACGTTTAATAGATAAAATCTACCTTCGTTCTATTCCATATATAATTATATTTCTATCTATTCAGATGGGCACATTATTAAATTTAGATATATTATTAGAAATTATCAAACGACCGATACCTGTTCTAATTGGCTTTATAGCTCAGTTTGGACTTATGCCCTTAATTGCATTAGCAATAACAAAAATATTTAAATATAATGCTTTATTTGGCTTGGGGTTATTCGTTGTTGGATGTTGTCCAGATAAATGAACAATTTATTTTTTATAAATCCCTCCCCGTAATAGAAGGCCATCCCGAAATAAGGGAACACTGCCGTAGGGCTGGGCAACTCCGTTGACTTTCAACTCCCATATCTCAACTCCCATTCAACTCCGGTTGCTTCACTCTTGTAAGAAAGATTTTTCGGTTTTTAGCAGGATTATGGACGTTTTTGAGCTTTTTTTGGCAAGAAAGCGCAAAGAACTTCCAAATTCACTCGTGAATACAGCCACTCACGAGGGAACTGCCCCAAGTGTCCGCTCGCTTTTTTCTTGAAACCTAGTGGAGAATAGGTTATCGACTATGCTGATTCCGAATATGACAATGGTTTTTGCTGCTAGGCCTTCGAAGACCTGGT